TATATATATATATATATATATATATATATAATTACTAGCTATAAGCAATAAATAAAATTTATTTAATTTTACCTACGTGGCATTCCCGTCAAAAGACGTTACTTTTCAATTTATTATATTTTTTTTATTTCACAAAATATGTAAGTCTTTGGTATTAATGTTTTGATTGTGTTAAAATTGGCAAGAACTTATTTAGTGTGTTCAATATTGTAGCAATTATTGTAGACGTTACAATTGTTTAATTGCACTCTTAATAGATCTTTTAAATTATTGCACTCTTTTTACAAATTATTAATAAATATACAAAGATATAATAATATACCTCAAAATTTCGAAACAAAACTCATAACAATCTTCGTATTTGTTATCACATTCTATTTTTCATATAAAAACTGAACAATAAAATACTCTCAATGCATAGATCTTATAAAAAAAATGCAAAGCTTTATATTTTGGTAGATCTTATTTGTAATCGACGAATTTGAGCTGAAATACTATAAAGCGGTAACGATTTTCTAAAATCCGGTCAATTTAGCTATTTAATAATAAAAATATATATATGTTTTCAAATTTTTAAATCTTGATAGATCTTTTTGTAATCGACCGATTTGAACCGAAATACTATAACTCAGTAAGTCGGTTTTGAAAAATCGGATCGAGTCGTACTTGCTGAAGAAGTCTAATATGATCGGGGTTCTGGGCAATCATAGGAAGTATGTTCTGTTGAGTGATAGACGGGAAGAGGACTCTTTGCCACACTAGAAGTCCTGCCAGACAGGGTCACTCTTACACACACAAAAAAAGATATTTTGTCTCACTGCTTTTCTCGTTTCTCTCAAAAGTCTAATAATTTGATATATTGAATAATTAAATCATAATTATATAATTATTTTAATGTGTGATTAATTTACTTTTAATAAAAGAATATAAAATGCATGCTAAAAAAATTTGATTTTATATACCCAAAGTCAAAAGATTTCCCTCCATTAAGCAAAGATTTCCCTCCATTAAGGCAAAAAATGAATTGTTTCCCTCCATCTTAAGTTTTTACTTTCTAGCTACTATTTTTAATTAACAAAAAACTAAGCACAAATTAGGTTAACCTCTCTCCACTTCTAAAACCCACCATATCCACGCATATACCTACCTGAATCCTCTCCAATTTTTCAATCAAGCTACAATATTTTGTAAATCTCTTACACAATTTCTCGAAAGCATTTCATTCCTTTGAATAGGAATCTCAATCTCGGATGAACAACGTGGCTTTTGCGCTTGCACTGTCCTAGAGGAGCAGCTAAAATTTTGTAAGCAAGCTAAAAAATTTAATCGCTATTCTACATACTACTGGATTGTTTTTAGTGCTTGAAAATTTTTTGCATCTTATCTAGGGTGCTCTAATAATTTGCATTTAATTCAATTTTTTTAGATTTACTCGGTTGGGGTAAATATGAATCCCGATTTGGGTTGATTCAATTTGCATGTCCGAAGGAGGCTTCATTCATATCTATATGAATTCCGATTCGGGTCATTCTCTTATATATGCTGCTTTACGAGCAGATTTTCAATTTCATTATTGTACAACAATATTTTGTTTTCTTTTACAGTTCTTTTATGTCCAGCAATATTATTATAGCTAAGAAGAATAAGAGATGCTGAGAAAGTGATTCATCTCCTATTTTGCTGATATAAATTTATTTTTTAATGAGGATTTGCAACCAATATGAATCAAATTGGTTTCCCCTATTTTACTAATAACTGTTTGGAGTGTGCTTTTGGGAAGAATTGTTAGGGAAATACATGTTGACTAGATTCAACTTCTCTATGTGATTCATTTTTTCCTTTTCTCTCCATAAGATAAAAAGGTAATGTTTTATATATGCCAAATTCTTTTGCTTTATAGCAATTATTCTCTGGGGTATATTTAGGGTATATTTGTATATAAAAGAGCAAATGCATAGTATTCTACATGTCATGTTATTTTCACCTTGTTCCCTTGTGATAATTTGTTGAAAGACATCATGTATTTGTGAAAAAGCCGTCTTAGGTGTTGCATATAATATACTTTATCCTTCAGTATAAATGTTTTTATCCTTTTGTTCTCTTTTAACAGTAAACTTTATTTACGAGGCACATTGTTTTCCATAAAATGTCGATGATGCAATCCTTAGCAGTCTGGTTATCTTAATATATAAGTTTCTCTTAACAAGTGGATGAGAAAGGCAGCCTGCATGGTTATCTTAACTATTAATGGTTTTGTTATCATGTATGTTTTTCAGGGAGATGGAAATGTCTGAGTATGAGAGTATAAGAAGGAGGATAGTAGAGGAGAATAAAAGAAAGATGGAGGAACTTGGACTTAGACCGGTGGCTTATGAGAAAATGAATTTGAAGAAACCGGCTAAGCAAGTAAATATCAACAAAACATTAAGGCCTACTCAAGACTTTCAAAATGATGATGAGCCTACACTTGGAAAAGGTGATCATTCAAAAAAAATATCCAAACAAGACAACACTCAAGGGTTTGGGACAATACTAAATTTGAGATCTTGCTCAAAAAAGGTTGTATATATCTAAAATTGTTCCATTATATGATTAAATGTATTATTCATATGCTCACATATGAGGTGTTATGTATATGTGTTAAGGTAATTGCTAGCGAAAACGTGGAGCCTGAAAGGATTGCAGACGAACAACAGTTGTCAATGGCGACAATGGCGAGCTTAATAAAATCACGTTCTCAAACTCGGAAAAGACTTTTGGAACAGAGTAAAGCGAAGAATCAATGTGATGAGGGTGCATTGAAATTGAAACAACCTCTGACGATCTCCGCACCACCTCTTCAAGAAGTGCCTCCGAAACAAGCCGAGGACAACTCTCACGGAAAGACCCAGGCTCGTATGAAGAAGAGCCAAAATAACATGATGGTTTTACCATGAACACTTAGTGCTTTTCAAAGGTTGAGAGGGAAAGGTATCGCAGATGAACAATTATCTTTACCAGTCAATAATGTCAACCAACCTGAGAGTTTACGGCACCAAGGTGTAAGAGTTGAATTATTTGAAGATGATAATGGATATGAAATCGGGAGTTCACATAAGCAGCAACATTCAAATGTTTATGCTGTTGAAGAAAACGATGATCCTATAGTTGCAGAAACTAATGAACAGATTCTCATGCAAGATCGTCACATTGACCAACCCGGTAAAATTAAATATAAATTCTATATATCTTATTTTTGTTGTCTTTAAATGTTTATTTAAAAATTTTGTTTTGATTAATACAATTTTGTTGGTACAAGCTTTCTTAGACTTATTTTTTGAATTTTTATCAAATCCAAATATGTAGTGTTGGAGAAGAAAAGGCGAACGAGAGGACCAACTATGTGCAAAGACGTTCATGCATGGACATTAGATGAACGTAGACCCATATTTTTCAATGTCAAAGGTCAGCCAATTGGTCCTGATCAAGAAACTTTAACAAAGTTTAGTATGTTTTTAGGGACTATATCTCGAGATTCTACTCTTGCACCACTGAATAAGGTTGACTGGCGCCATGTTACCGGCAAGGATAAGATTTTTGATTATGTGAAGGTATGGTGCTTTGAACATTCTATATGATAGGTTATTTTTTCTGGTAATCATTTTCCAGGTCTTTATTGTTGTGTTATCCACTACTGAAATCTCTATCTCATCACTCATATAAAAAATACCAACGTTTGTTTTAGCATATACTATTTTAACTATATCATACTTAGAGACTACATAAAATAATTCCTTTATTGCAGAAGAAATTCATCATCCCAGAGGAGGCCATGGAATATGTGTTATCTTCGGTTGGAGATCTTTGGCGTAGTCATAAATGTAGAATAAAGAAGAAACACTACACCGGGTATGAAAATGACAAAGAAAGATGGATGAATAGGCCAAAGTCGATTTCAGATTCACATTTTAAAGAATTGTTAGAATATTGGAAACTTGATGAGGTTAAGGTAATGTAATAGACTAATGTTTTATTGTCTTTTACCATTTAGCTATTATTCTCAAATTATTTGAACTCGAGGATGAGTTTAATTGCAGGAATTAAGTAAGAAGAACAAGGAGCACAGTGAAGGACAAAAAGATAGGCATACGATGGGTCCTATATCATTTGCAAGAAAGCGTTTTGAGCTGGTAAATTGTTGTAGTGTCCCATTTATTCCGGATTATTTTGAAAGTTATTATTTATTTTTTTATTTATTTGTCCAAATAAATTTATTTATTTTATCTATGCTCGTAATTGCTTGAATTGTTTGTTGTTATAGATAAATAAATAATGTGTGTATTTCATTGACTTAATATGTATCAGCATTATTATTATTATTTTATATACAAATATTATCTGCATTTGATTTTAAATTTTCGCCACGTCGAACCAAGCCTCGAATAATTTTTGAGTTGAGCCCGAGAGAACCGGCCGATTTGATTAAATTTCCGTAGTCATTTTGGGATCATTTTTTTTAGCCCAATTTGGTTAAATGCTTTGGCCCAACTTGGATTTAAATAAAATGACCTTGTCATTTTAATCGATTTCAAAAAGCCCAACAGATAAAATTTTATCTGATTGTTTGAAAACGCCGATAAGCCTGATCTGCCCGTTCAAAAGCTTCAGAGCGGGTCTTCAGGAGATGGCTTCTCCAACTAACATGCACGTTCTTTTCTCTCTCGCTAATTATGTGCTCAGATTTTCTCCTCTCCCGTCAATCTCTTTCACGCATCATTTTTCACGCCATCAGAAACCAATCTCTCATTTTCTCTAAGCCCGACAACGAGCCATCCTCATCACTTCCGTTCATCATCCTCCATCATCATCTTCACCTCACCGCTGCAATTTCCGGCAACTTTCTGTTCGAGAGCAGACCACGAGCGAACCCCGACGTGAGCAACCTCCGCCTGCAATTTTTCCGGTGACCTCAGCACCAACGCCGACGAATCCTTCCAGCGGAGTTCTCTTCCCGACGTGAACCAGCCGGCCATTACCCGACGAGCTCTTCTCCCTCCGACGGCCCCAGCAGCAACGCCGACGATTCACGCGAGCAGGCCCTCCACGAACAACCGCTCGTCATTTTCCGGCGAGACTTTCCCTCCCGACGTGAACCAGTAGCCGCGAAGCTTTTTCCGGCGAGTTCCGTCGCAAGCTCTCTTCCTCCGGCGAGCTCTATTCAGTCCGGCGGACCCTCCTCCGCCACGCAGCAGCTACGCCGCGACCCGAGCCCTTGTCCGACGAGCCTGCTCCTCCCCTCCTTCATGAGACGAAGCGAAGCCGTCGAGCTCGTTCGTCGAGAAGCAGCCCAGCCTTCCTTTCTCGTTCCCTTCTGAGATTTTCCGAGATCGGTAACGAGACTCGATCTCTCGCTAAATTATCTACGTGTTATATTCGTGTAGAGATTTTATGTGTATATTCGAATATCGTTCGGTATCTTGTGATTTGACATGGTTTAATTGGCCTCGCCCGCTTATGTTGAACTCTATGTTGTTGCAGTGATTAGTCAAGTATATGCTCGTTTATTCCTGTTTTTGGGAGAACCACATGAAATATATGCGTGTTTTGATACGAGGCGAAGTTCATTTTTGAATGCGTGATTTATTCAAAAAATACTGCCCTGTTAAGATGCGATTATGACCCTCTGAAACTGGTTATTTGAAATTAGGGTCTTCATGTGGAATGTAGTATGTTCAGTTTGGTAAACCTGAGCTTTGGAATTTCTTGATTCCGAGTTGTATCGAATAAGTTGTGATTTTTACAAAAATGTTGCGCGTCCAGTTTTCCTGTTACCCGGCAGCATGTCTATAATTAAAATATGGTCTGTTTATCGTGTCGTAATGTGCTCGTATGAATTTACACTCTTCATGAAAGTTATAGTCCTGTTTCTTGCCTTTCAAATGAGATACATTTCATGTCGATACGTGCTCTGTAGCGCGTTCTAGGTTGTAAACACTAAAGTGTTGTCCATATCGCATGGGAGTTTTTGACAGATTTGTTGAACCAAATGTTTTGTGTTTAACCTCATTGAAAACGTATTTATTTGCCAACGTGACCTTCAGAAAAGTTGTAGATATTTGAGATATCTATCATGTGGTTTTTGAATGTCAATAAAAACATGCCTGTAGCTCCGGTTAGAGAGTAATTACTGAGGGCTGGTCAAGTGTATTACCCCAGTTTTGGACTGTGACTCATTTTTGAATGTTTGTTGATTTATCACCTGCTAAATGGCCTTATTTGCTTTCGGTGTCTTCATAAGAATTGTAGATTCATATATTAAGATTCTAATGCAACTTGATCCATGATCACATGAGTTGTGTGTTGAGAGTTATGTCGGTTTTAAAAACGCTGCCCGGGTTAAGTTTTCAAAACGTAAGTGATATTTTCAGAATTTGGATTTCCTTAATTTAATGCATGCTTAAATGCTTACGTGAGCTTACTTGGACTAAGTGATTTGTTGAATAGTCATTGATAGGGCTATTTTATTAAATGTAGGTGCTTGACGAGTCGAACTCGCCGCCTACACTCAATTTGTGATTTGTCTCGATTCCGACCAGGTGGGTTGTTATTCTAAAATTACCTGTGCAATGTGTGTTTAAATATGTTTTTCTGATTTGGCGTGATCTATGTATGAACGTGAACATGTATCCTATCGATGGGAGCTATTATGATGGCCATCGGTACGGTTGTCCCCGTCGATGTAATACGGTTGCCCTTGCGAGGCAAGTCTCCTTAAGACCTATTATGAAAGGCCGTGTCCTTGCGTGGCACGTATTCTCGCCGTTAGGGTAATGAATCCCATTTCCGCGACTATTATGAAAAATGTGTACACAGGAGTATTTATGTTTATGTTGGAGATGTGACATATGTGATATTATTTATGTTCATGCTACGACCATGCCTATTTACC